CCTTTAAGCTCCTCCCTCTTTACCCCCTTCCCTTTAGCCCCTCCCCCTTTAGCCCCTCCCCCTTTAGCCCCTCCCATTTAAGCTCCTCCCCTTTAAGCTCCTCCCCTTTAATGACTTCCTTGTAGTTCCTCCCCTTTAAGCTCCTCCCCCTTTAGCCCCTCCCCCTTTAACACTTTAAACCCTGCCCCTTTAAGCTCCTCCCCTTTGGCCCCTCCCCTTTAACCCTTCCCATTTAAGCTCCTCCCCTTTAACCCCTTGTAGCTCCTCCTCTTTAAGCTCCTCCCCCTTTAGCCCTGCCCCTTTAACTCCTCCCCCTTTAGCTCCACCCCTTTAAGCTCCTCCCCCTTTAGCCCCTCCCCCTTTAACCCTTTCCTTTAAACCCCACCCCTTTAAGCTCCTCCCCTTTAAGCCCCTCCCTCTTTAACTCCTCCCCCTTTAAGCCCCTCCTCCTTTAACTTTTTCCTTTAAACCCCGCCCCTTTAAGCCCCTCCCTCTTTAGCCCCGCCCCTTTAGCATCGCCTTGTTTGGCCCCTCCCCTTTTAGCTCCTCCCTCTTTGGCCCCGCCCCTTTAACTTCTCCCCTTCATGCTCCTCCCTCTGGCCCCGCCCCTTTAACCCCTCCCTCTTTGGCTCCTCCCGCTTTTTAACCCCTCCCTGTTTAAACCCTCTTTGGCCCCTCCCCCTTTAGCCCCTCCCCCACCAAGACCACACCCCTTTAACCCATTTCTTCCTGGCCCCACCCCCACAGGAGGAAGCCCCGCCCCCTCGGGCCCCACCCCCTGAGGAGCCTCGCATCGGCCCCACCCTCCCGGCCCCGCCCCCTGCCATGGCCACGCCCCCTCCGGAGCCCCGCCCTGGCCCCGCCCACCTGGCCCCGGTGCCACGCCCCCTGCGAAGGCCACGCCCACAGGACCCGCCCTTCCCTGTGCCAGAGGTGGGCAGGGCTTAAAAGGGGTGGGGCTTAAAGGGGCGCGGCCACTCGGTGTGGGCGGGGCTGAAGGGAAGTGGGTGTGGCTGTTGGAAATGATTGACAGCTCTCCAGGTGGGAGGGGCTGCGGGGAGTAGGCGTGGCCAGTGGCAGCGGGTGTGGTCAACAGGAAGTAGGCGTGGCTATGGGAGTGATTGACAGCTGTCCATCACAGCTGTGGGAAGAGGGGCGGAGCCTCTGGGGCGGGTGGGAGTGGCCACACAAACCTGGGCGTGGCCAGGATTATTGACAGGTGTCCGTCAGACTGCAGGGAAGGGGGCGGAGCCTCCAAATCTGGGGGTTCCCGCTTGCTGGGCGTGGCCAGGATGATTGACAGGTGTCAATCAGGTGGTGGGAAGGGGGTGGGGCCTCTAAATTGGGGGTTCTCATTGGTGGGTGTGGCCAGAGGGGAGTGGGCGTGGCCGGGATGATTGACAGTTGTCCGTCAGATTGCAGGAAAGTGGGCGGAGCCTCCATATTTGGGGTTTTCTGCTTGGTGGGCGTGGCCAGAGGGGAGTGGGCGTGTCTCCAGTGGGGTGGGCGTGGTCATAATGATTGACAGGTGTCCGTCAGGCTGCGATAGAGCTGTGGCAAAGGGGGAGGAGCCTCCAAATCGGGTTTATTACAGGGTGGGCGTGGCCGCTGGGGAGTGGGCGTGTCCCCCTCGGGGTGGGCGTGGCCAGGATGATTGACAGGTGCCCATCAGGCTACACCCAAGCCGTTCCAAAGGGGGCGGAGCCTCTGAATTTTGGGGTTTGTGTGGGGTGGGTGTGGCCGGCGGGGAGTGGGCGTGTCTCTGGTGAGGCGGGCGTGTCCGGGATGATTGACAGGTGTCCGTCAGGTGGGGGCGGAGCCGGCGGCCGAGGACAAGCGGAAGGGGAGGGGCGAGCGGCTGAAGCGCTGCATCCGCACGGCGGCCGGGAGCAGCTGGGAGGATCCCAGTCTGCTGGAGTGGGACGCTGGTACGGACTGGGACGGACTGGGATAAACTGGGAGGGACTGGGATAAACTGGGAGGGACTGGGATAAACTGGGAGGGACTGGGATAAACTGGGAGGGAACTGGGAGGGACTGGGAGGGGACTGGGATGGACTGGGAGGGGATTGGGAGGGACTGGGATGGACTGGGACAAACTGGGATGGAACTGGGGGTCTCCGGTGTCTCTATGACCGCTTGACGACCCCAAATGACCCCGAAATGACCCAAAATTACCATTTTTTGCCCCAAATTCCAATAATTTTTCTGGTTTTTGTTGGGATTTGGGGAACAAGATCAAGGATGAGATTCTGGGCTGGGTTCTGTGAATTTTGAGTTGTCTTCATGACCCCAAACTCTCATTAACGACCCCAAAACCTCATTAATGACCCAAAATGACCCAAAATTGCCGTTTTTTGCCCCAAATTCTGATGAGTTTCCAGTTTTTCGTTGGAATTTGGGGAACAAGATCAAGGATGAGATCCTGGACTGACCTCTGTGACTTTTGAGTTGTCTTCATGACCCCAAACCCGCATTAACGACCCCAAAACTCCACAATGACCCCAAAACGACCCCAAAATGACCCAAAATCGCCGTTTTTTGCCCCAAATTCCAGTAATTTTCCTGGTTTTTGTTGGGATTTGGGGAACAAGATCAAGGATGAGACCCTGGGCTGAGCTCTGTCATTTTTGGGACATCCCCAGGACCCCATAATCTCAATTAACAACCCCAAAACTCCGCAATGACCCCAAAACAACCCCAAAATGACCCAAAATCGCCGTTTTTTGCCCCAAATTCCAGTAATTTTCCTGGTTTTTGTTGGGATTTGGGGAACAAGATCAAGGATGAGATTCTGGGCCGGATTTTGTGACCTTTGAGTCATTCCTATGACCCTAAATCCTCAATTATGACCCAAAAAACCTCATTGATTACCCCAAAACGGGCCCAAAACGACCCAAAATCGCCGTTTTTTGCCCCAAATTCCAGACGATTTCCGCATTTTCTGCGGGGATTTGGGGAACGAGGTGAACGACGAGACCCTGGGCTGGGCTCTGTGACTTTTGAGTTCTCTTTATGACCCCAAACTCTCATTAACGACCCCAAAACCTCATTAATGACCCAAAATGACCCAAAATTGCCGTTTTTTGCCCCAAATTCTGATGAGTTTCCAGTTTTTCGTTGGAATTTGGGGAACAAGATCAAGGATGAGACGCTGGGCTGGGTTCTGTGAATTTTGAGTTGTCTTCATGACCCCAAACCCGCATTAACGACCCCAAAACCTCATTAATGACCCCAAAACGACCCCAAAACGACCCAAAATCGCCGTTTTTTGCCCCAAATTCCAGTAATTTTCCTGGTTTTTGTTGGGATTTGGGGAACAAGATCAAGGATGAGATTCTGGGCCGGATTTTGTGATCTTTGAGTCATTCCTATGACCCTAAATCCTCAATTATGACCCAAAAAACCTCATTAATTACCCCAAAACGACCCAAAACGACCCAAAATCACCGTTTTTTGCCCCGATTCCAGACGATTTCCGCATTTTCTGCGGGGATTTGGGGAACGAGGTGAACGACGAGACCCTGGGCCGCGCCTTCGGCCGCTTCCCGTCCTTCCTGAAGGCCAAGGTGATCCGGGACAAGCGCTCGGGGAAGACCAAGGGCTACGGCTTCGTCTCCTTCAAGGACCCCAACGACTACGTCCGGGCCATGAGGGAGATGAACGGTGAGGGGAGGGGGATTTTGGGGGGATTTGGGGGGGATTTTGGGGG